ATAGCCCGAACAGCAGTGAGAAGCCTGCCGGAGGTTCGGCTCAGCCGATCCAGATGTTGGATCGGCTGAGTCGAACTCCTTCTGCACTTCGGGTCAGCCGAACATGCTGAGCATGTTCGGCTGATTCGAAGCCACGCGAAGCAAGCCGATGTACGGCTGATTTCAGCCGATATACGGCTGAAATCAGCCGTACCAGCCTGAAGTGAATAGCCGAACAGTGTTCGGCTCACTTCACTTCTGATCGGTCATTCACTCGGCTGCCCTCGGCAGCTTTGTGAATAGACCCCTATGAGAATGCTTTGGGGATTTATACTTTGCAGAATGAGGTTTTGTCTTATTTTGAAAACTATTACTTAAATATGTCAGATATCATTCTAAAATGTCTTTGTTTGACATATACACACAGAATTTTGGTCCAGCTTGATACATTAAGATTTCACAGGCTTTAATTTTGAAAGTGAGTTTTCCTGAAGAAATTTTGTGCACTAAAACTATGCATTTACTAAAATATTGAGCTCAAATTATTAAATTCAACCTAAGCACTGTGGGTGTTATTGGATAAATATTCTACATATCTTGCTATCTACAGAAGTAATTCCGCGTATATCCCAACACCTACCTCGTTATATGTCTCTGTTGTTGATGTAGGATAATTACTTCCTAGTGACCAGGTAGATGGGATCAGGACTTTAACATTTTTTATGAAGAGCCTTTTTTCAGTAGCTTGAAACAAATAATTTGTTGCTTCTTTGAGCATATTCTAAAAAAGAGACAAATTGTGTTAATAATCATACATTGTTACATATACCTGTTTTCTCAACTTTATTGTGGGACACCAGCAAGAAATGGCAAGCCAATAATAGGCTTATTCAGTAAGTTTCCCCAGTTGAGTTGGCAGGTTGTCTTGCACGATTGTAGTCTAGCAGAGTCTTTAAAACAACAAAATAAAATCTTGTATTGAGCTGCAAATCGAATATTTCTAGAATAATAAAAATTAGCCCTAAAGGGCCTCTAACCCAACATTACATCAACTGTGATGTTAGATGTAACTGGTATTTAGTTATTTTATTTTTTCATTATTAGCAAAATTAACTCTCAGGTCCCTCATCTCTGGCTGACCAATTACTGAGAAATTCATTTACAAGACCTTTGGTGGACAAGGGCACCCACCCAACTCTCTCTGTGAGATATGGGCTGCTCCAGCTCTTACTCAGGATGTGCTGAGTGTAGCCAGAAGTAGTTTGGGTGTAAGCACCTATCCACACTTCCCAAACTCTGATATTTTTCATGGAGCAATTCATCCCATTGCTCAATGGACCTGCATTAAAAAAAACAGTAGCCAGAATAAGACTGGCTACTTTGGGCTATACAGGCATTTTTCTACATATTCTTCCATAGTGACTTAAAAGAATTGAAGTGACACTGTCGGAGGACTTAAGTTTACCAAAAAGATTTCCCTGTGAAAGGATACAGTAAAAAAAAAATTCCCAGCTGCCCACATGGAAGAAAGTTGCTGCATTGATAAGAAATCATCCAATGAAGTCTCTTCCGATTATGTCAATCTCCTTTGTCCCCCCTGTGCTCACTGGTTCCTCTGACCAACCTCCACATCACTGCTGTGTCCTGCAATGATGTGGAGGTTAATGGGAAGAACTACTGAGTGCATTAAGAGTCGGGGTGGGATTAACACCCCCAGTCTGCACAGACTTTAGCTGAGGATTTTTTTCAAGGGTGCGTATGGCATGATCTGCATGACATCCACAAACTCATTTTCAAAAGGGAAGGAGAAAATCAAAAGGTCTTCAGTTTGTTGGATGAGTTGCGTGGGATATGGTGCCGCATCCTATTGCTACCATTTAAAAGACAAATGTATCCTCTTCCATCATTCTCAGCATGAAATCTGCCGTTCTGTGACTATCTTTACTTTCCTAAGCAGTGTGCAGTCAGATTTTACTGCTAAGGTCTCTACTCATTTGTAACGTCAGTAATGATAGGTAATAAACGTGTTGTGACACAAGAGCCTTAGAAAAATGTGTGCATTCTTTCATCAAATCACAGAGGTAATAAAGAGTCATTTATCATACTATTTATTTTATTGTTCACGAAAGAATTTATGATACTGACTTCTCTTTTCTTGAATTGTACCACAACTACTTACAATAACATTTAAATGTCAAAAATGTATGAGGACAAAACAGGAAACAAAAAAGTGGCCGGTCAGGGGGCAGTAAAAATGCATCTCATCTTAAGTTAAAAAAAAAAAAATTGTGTTTTATCTCTTTTGTGGTGGTCCAAAAGTCTGCATTTTCCCTTTTAAAATAAAAAAACATGTATTGTATTTAGAACTGAAAACCCTATTTTTGATTCAGTCTTGTAATATATATTTATAGTAATGAATTTTGGCCTTTTATTTATTATTTTTTTATTTCCCAAAATTCCGCTTTTGCACACTTATTCATGAAATAAAATATTTGCATTTATTAATTTATTTTGCATTGGAGCCAGTAAAGCGTTGCAACTACGATCAGTAGATCGCGGGTGCAATGCTCTGGCTTCTGCAGATTCTCCCTCCCATCCCTGTGCATACAAAAGTATTGACATTCAGTAACATTATGGAGGGAAATTTAATGGACTACGTTGCGTTGTGTTGTGCGTTGTGCGTTGATGTCACTTGAATTCCATTGAGAACTATGAGTCGCTATGCCATGGTGGCTGATGGAACTTGTAGTGTCTCCTTTGTCAGGATCTGTAAATTAATGATGTGGCTGTATGAGCAAAGCAACACACAGCAGTGATTAATTAAAAATACTGCAGCAGCCTGTAGAAAGAAGAACCCTGTGATTCAGGTAAGTGGGCTGATGTGGCCATGTTTCATGTTATACCCTGAATATGGGTGTAACATACAACATGGTCCAGAGGGTGAACATAACCTTTAAGGGGAAATTCCATTTGCCCAGGTGAATTTGGAAAAACGGAAATTACCCTCACCAATCTGCTCCCTCCGGTAGCTGCGGAGGGGAAGGAGCGCTTGTTGACAGATAAGAGCGGAGGGGGGGGGGAGGGGTTTAGCATGTGGCAGATTGGGGAAGTGGAGCAATCAGTGAGATATATCGTCAATTTATCTACTTCATAATTGTTTGCAAATTCACTTGTACTCTATGTGTGTAAATGTTTGCGTGAACATTACTGGTGATTTCCCTGAAATCATACATCTGGATGGTGCTTCATTGCATAAACACGCAAAAACATTTCTGCAAGTTTCTGCATCAATATCTTTCAATTTTTACAATAATTAACTGATGTTTCTGCATCAGTTGTGATAAAGAGTTATCAACGTGGTCGAGCTTTCCAACCACTATGTCATGTCTATAACTAGCCTCAATATCACAGAAACAAGATTCCAATCACATATACAGAGGTCAGATGAAATTCATATCAAGGTCGAATTGAGAGAACTATATATACTGAGAATCATTTTGACATTATCATACTGACCCAGAATCAGAAACATGTTTCTTCAAACAGAATAAGAATCATAATGACACAACCAAGAAGGAAACAGGTTTGTTGTAACAGGATCAGAGAGTTCTTAGTGCATGGACCCAGAATAGCGGAACTGTAAATTTACAGCACAATGTACCCACAATTGCTTAAGCTGTAAAGCCGGGGCTAACTGCCATGGCTGAGCAAGATATCAATCTGGAATCTTTTATTATACAACAAAATTTGTCAATGACAGTGACCAGGATGATGATCAAGCTCCACCCCTGCTGCATTAGGTCATGGTCCATGTTGGTTATACAAATACCCAGCCCTGGTTATGGCAGTCAACTATAACGCATGTGAAGATGTGTTTACTGCCATAATCATTGTTGTTTTCAGTCCGTTATTTTCAACTCCCATTGGCTCTTACTGCTATAAATAACATTTGTTATAGCTTAAATCAGGGGTGGACAAATTAATATGGAACTCAGGAACCAGTCTGCCCAGTCCAGCAGACGGCTCCATTGACAACAACTAGAGAAAACCTCAAAAGTTAGGCACCAGCTGTAATTTTTAAGGAGCATTGACTACCTGGCTCCTGGGATTTGTCCAGCCCTGGCTTAAAGCATTTCTAAACCCAAAAAACAAAGATGTAATATATGGCAGCTTGGCAGTCCTTAGATGTGGACTGCTAAGCTGCAATACTTTTCAGCAAATACAGAAAATGATTGTTGACTTTGCCAGAAATGCAGTATCCTTGTCACTATCTGAGAACTTAAAAGAATGCACAAAGAATGTTATCTTTATTGTATAAACTACTAGTTCCATCAACCCACCATATAATGGAGATGACAAAGGTTGACATGTTTGAAGTCCAGCCTGTGTGACTACCATGGCTGCCCTCATAGATACAGTGGAGAAAAAAAGTGTAGACATGACAGTACAGAAAGTGCGTTAATCACAGGATTACTAGGTGACAATAAAGGGGAAAAAAGACTGGGAAAAAGGAAACTAATGTACCCACCACATCTAAGGACTAATAAGCTTCAATATATTATATTTTTGTTTTGGGTTTTCTACTTTATTCATTTAGCCCCATGAACAGTTCATTATAACAAGAATGATCAACAGTAGGAAAGACTTATCTATGCTAGAGCAAAGAAAACATGCTTGCATTGTGTGAGTATGGCAACCCGCCAGAATACTGCTTATATAATCTATTGCTGATGTGTGTCAGGCAGTGATATAAAAAAATTTCTGACAAGAGAAAAATCTTCCTATTCAAACCCCCATAACTAAGATGCATCTTTTACATGTAAGAACTCTAGTCTTTCAGCATTTAGTCCTACCTTTATATTGTCAAGGATTTGTGCATCTTCCTTCACATCTGGATGAATTGCAATCACGATATCCTCATATCCACCATTGTTAACCCATACCAGAGATCCTATGGTTGTGTATAGTACGGAATAGATGAAAAGGAAAATAAATGCATTTTGAGGAGCCATGGTACACTTTGCGTAGTATGAGAATCCAACATTCTGCTTCTATGCTACAATAATATCTTATCACGTGAACTTTGCTATATTGCTACATTATATGACATGCCATGAATATGACAATCATGTCAGTTGCAGATAAAACAAATAAGGAAATAACTGCTAAATATTTATCAGAATTGTTTGCTTTGTAAAGATTTACAGTTCTTCATTTGATCTCAGTGTGATGATTGAAATCTAGTGACCCTATACAGGTTTAGTGGAAGAGAAAACCTGCAGACTTAGCAAAATGTAACTTTGGCTTAGTATCTAGTACTCCAGGCAGATGTGACAAAGTTTAATCAAATCCAGCGGTCTATCAAAATGACACTAAGCACAGGATTTAAATCTTAAAAATGAATTAAACTACCTTAACCATTAACAAATGTTTCTTATTTGTGTATCACTCATCTGTAGATCCTGTAGATCCTCAAATCATCTCTGAACTCATGCTGACACTGTTTTTCCTTCTGGAGGGTGGTACTTTTGTTCCCCGTGGTCCCTATAGTTATTGTAAAGTAGCCACCACTCCAAGCTCGCCCCTGTAATGGACTACAATCTCAATACAAATTAGAAAACTAAACGTGAGATTGTAGTGGTGGCTACTTTACAACACACACGGGGCCATGGGGAACAAAAGTAGCCACCCTCCCGAAGGAAGGACAGTGTCAGCATGAATTCAAGGATAATTTGAGGATCTACAGCCGAGTGATACAAAAATAAGGTACATTTTTGTTAATAGTTAAGAAACTTTAATGCATTTTTAAGATTTAACTCCTGAGTTAATTCTTACTTTAATAAAAATCTAGCTTTCTATTAAAAAGGAAATAGAAGGAATATAATTTTATATTATAAGTCACTTGGTAGACCATATTTATTTTCCAGAATAAATAAGTCCTTAGACATAGCAGGGAAGGGAAAAATGCATATTTATGGTATTGGATAGGGAGAGAAGAGGAAGCTGTCTTGGTCGGAACAAACAGGATAGATCTTCTAGCCTGCCAGACAGAGGCTGGCCTGGACATTCCAACACACACTATAATGATTTTGGGCTCACTTTATTTGATATTTCTTTTTGTTGTAATGTTTTTCAACCAATGTTTTATTCATTCATATTGATACTAAACTTATATTTTACGAATAGATGTTTAATGCAGTGTGCATTCAAAGCACTGGTAAAACATTTTGGGTTTTTGAAAGAGAGAATCCAAAAGTAGTACAGTCTCTGGTTAACTGTAACTCCACATAGTCCAAAATAAACAAAAAATCTGACTCATGCAGACTTTATTAAATATGAGACTATCTCCAGACCCACAGAGTGGAATTTATCCAAAAATGGAGGTGACAGAATCTGGAGCAGTTGCCCATGGCAACCAATTAGACTCTCTCTTCAGTTTGTCAAGTTAAGCTTTAAAAATGAAAGATAGAAGGTGATTGGTTGCCAAAGGTGACTGCTCCATATTCTGCTCCAGTTTTGATAAATACCCTTACAGGATTGTGCAAAGTACAGTAACAGAGCAAACAATTAGATTTCAGTTTAATGGATGAATTAATTGCACTTTGCACATCATTACTTTACTTCTCTCTACTTAATAAGACCTAAGTTGTGTACCTATTTTCAAGGGGAAGCAGAAGTCCAGGAACAATTATGTCATCAAATAGCTCTAGGAGAGCTTAAATTTGATCATTTGATGTGTATAAGAGGAGGTGAGTGGTGTCTGCAGAGCAATTGGTGAGTTGGAAACGAGAGAAATGTATATTTCTGCATACACTATGCTGTGGGAAGTTTAGCTCTAGGTATGTTCAGGTACAAGCCAGAAATGGAGGAACAGAGACAATTACGGGACACTGTGGTGCTGATCTAGGGTTGCTAAGGATATTAAGATTCCCAAGTGCAGTTTACAGCTGCACTGGGGATTGGGGCATAGGGGCATTTTTAGAGACACAGTGGTGGTGATAGTGAGTTGCTTTTCTTCCATTGACACCTGTTTACCCCACCAAACATCCCCTGTCTCCACATATCAACCTCCAAAAGCCAGTCATTTCGGGACAGAATCCACCAGAGGCGGCCTCTCAGACCCAACCAATGTGTCACCTGCAGAGAGACCCTGTCACCTCTTTATACATTTACTGTATTACTGACTGAAGTGATGACAACCCAGTGAGCAATAAGTCTGTACATAAAATTTACAGTAGCCCAGATGGGAAATCATTAATGCATAGATCATATATGAATAATGTTATTTATGGCGTTATCAAATTTAAGCATTAAGTTTTTTCTAGTGTGTATTCCAAACTGTAGTTGTGTCCCTTAGTCAATAATTTAAACCTAGAAGGGTCAAACAAAAATTAGTAGGTTGGATTTTGCTTAGATAATTGTTAACCCGATGTTCTAAAACTTTAAAATCACAGGTGATGATGGAAACGGGTCAGTGGTTAGCGGGAGAAAAATGAAGGCATGGATGTTTAATAATTAGTTTGATTATTAAAAGCTTTAGTAAGAGCAGAAAATTCAAAAACATAGGGACAGGTGTAAAATATATGAAGTGGGGAATAAACGCTGGGAAATCTAGTTAATTGGTAGCGGTTTAATGCAAGTCATTAGCAACTGCAGCACGATGTTCCTTCTGCTCCGGTAGCAGGAGCCGCAGAATGAATTTTGCCAGTACATGTTTCATGCCAAGATCCTGCATCAGTAGTTTTTGGAATCCCCAGATCAGCTTCTAGTTCTCGAATTGTAAGTTGCTGATCTTTGTTAATTGCAGCCTATACAAGTTCAACATTCTCCAGTGTTCTTCTTGTTGCAAGCCTTCCAGAATGTGGATCACTTTCAGCAGATTCTCAACCATCTTTGAAGCGTTTGTGCCACACCTTTATTTGTGTTGCACTCATTGCATTGTCCCCGAAAGCCTTCCGAACCATCTGAATAGTTTCAGTGTAGGAATGTTCAAGCTCTGTGCAAAATTTGATGCAGATTCATTGCTCTACTTGCTCATTCTTTTTAAATGCTAGGGCCACACAGTACACATGCTCACTCAACGGTGCTTAACACCCGCACTGACTAGTACAGTGAAGTCATCATTGTTCACGCATGTGCATTCTAGTCCACTCTCCTTGGCTGCCAGGTTACATCGATGTCGCGCAAACCGTTCTCATTATATCGGCAATGGCTGAACTTTTTCCAGACAGACCTTGTAGATAAAATAATGTGAGATTGAATACAATCTATAAGGCAGATAATAGGATGAAGGAGTAAAGAAAGAGGATACTTCATCCTCTCTCACAGGTACGAAGACAGAGCAGGTAAATTGAGAAACTGGTAAGCAAACGCTGAGGTGGAAAATAGACTGTGGTTCATCTTCCTGCCTTACTGTATCAGTTTCATCTCTGAAGTAGCAGGCAAAGCCTTGGACAATTAGAGCAATATAGGGGGGAGTAGTTAATTGAGGTTTTGAAGAGGGGTTTAAAATAAGACCATAACTGATATAGGATGGTTTGGTGAAAGTAAATACATCCTTAAAAGACCCAAATATTAAAGTAACACTAAACTCAGGAGTTAAATCTTAAAAATGCATTCAAGTACCTTAACTATTAACAGAAATGTACCTTATTTGTGTATCACTCAGCTATAGATCCTCAAATTATCCCTGAAATCATGCTGACACTGTCCTTCCTTCTGGAGGGTGGATACTTTTGTTCCCCATGGCCCCTGTGTGTGTTGTAAAGTAGTCACCGCTCCAAGCTTGCTCCCGTGATGGACTACAATCTCATGTTTAGTTTACTAACTTGTATTGAGATTGTAGTCCATCACGGGAGGGAGCTTGGAGCAGTGGCTACTTCACAACACACACACAGGGACCATGGGGAGGAAAAGTAGCCACCCTCCAGAAGGAGAGACAGTGTCAGCACCAATTCAGAGATGATTTGAGGATCTACAGCCGAGTGATATACAAATAAGTTATGTTATTTATGTTGATATTTATATTATACAGTTATTTATGTTAATAGCTAAGGTACTTGAATGCATTTTTAAGATTTAACTCCAGAGTTTAATGTCACGTAAATGTTCTGGTCTTTTAAGGATGTCTGTACTCTCACCAATCCATCTGTTTTCAGTTTTGTATGGGCTTATACCTCTTTGAAACCTCCAATAGTTAATGTACTTAAATGCATTTTTAAGGTTTAACTCCTGAGTTTAGTGTCACAAGTGAATTTTCCTCCAAAAAAACTTTCAAATGTTTGGAACACTTTGGTTTCTCTGGTGTTCCATGGTTCAGTACCAATGAAGAATGGTATAAAAGTGAGATTATCTAGAAACAATATAAGGATACGTATTGTGATCTTTACTCAGGATTCTAGAATAAGAAAAGTTTTTAGAGAGAGTGACAATTTTTGCATATTTATCAGTGTTGGATTACGAGCACGGTGACATAAGATGCTGCTTGTGGCGTAGTGAGTTGAGTGGGCCTAGTTGAGGACATCTTGTTTATAAGACAACCCACCTGCTATGTAGAGCCGCACAGGGAAGTTTCTTCTCTCTTCTTCTAACCCTGTCAGGAATTCTTTGGCTCTCTGGTGATGGCAGTATCTTTCTATCTCTCTCACGGGACAGGGGTATGTTTGGGGTCTTAGTTGGAGCAAAAGTCAAACCCGGTACATAGTGTGTATCAGAGATAAGGGGCTCTGCATTGTGCAGAAGAAATTTGCTTTTCTCCTTCCTTGTCCATATGTTGGAGGGAAGTTCCTACTCTCCTCTGACGTCCCCCCAGGAGTCCTCTGGTTCTGTCTATTGACCTATGCTGTCACGTCCAGAGCCAGAGTACCCTGGGAAGACCAATAAAAAAAATGGGGTACTCTCACAGGACACACTGTCTCTCTCTTGTCCTACTTAGGGTTCAAAAATCAGCATGATTGTTGCAGCTTTTCTGTATTCAACACGTAGGAGGAAGTAATTCAGTATTTTATATTTGTATCAATAGAAAGTTGAAAAAAAGATAAAACAGTACAAATGAAATGTCCATCTATCAGCATAGTTAAGTATTTATGTATCTGGAGCAATTACATCCATGTCTCACTATTGATTTCTAAGACTGTAAAAAAAAGTATATAATACTTTTCAGAGATAAAGATGAATACACTGAACTACAGTGTTGCAAAATAACTCTTGAAAGGAACCGTCTATAAACAGCAAATACTACTTATATCACACAAAAATCTTGCTGACTTCTAGGACCAGGCATATTATTTGCAAGGTCTCCAGAGTCCAGCGATATTCATGTGATATACTTACAAACACAAACTGCTCTATGGACTGCTACCAGAGAGCAGGTTTAGGTGTACGTTTAATAAATGCTGAAAAGTTGGTGATAAGCAGTGATAAGACTTTTCAGTGTTAAGTCCCTAGTGAGGTTGCCTTCTCACAGGGCATTATTAGCTATAGGACTATTTCTG